CCACCACCACCACCTCCACCTCCACCACCTCCACCTCCACCTCCACCCTCGTCGACGACGACGACGAACAGCCCCATGCCCGTCTCCCACCCTGATTCCCGACCTATCTTACTACCCATCTACCTACCTATCTAACTACTGTAGGTATATAGGTACGTAGGTAGGTAGATATGTATATATATCATCAGGCAGGCTGGCAGGCAGGCGTCCTGCATTTGGCCCCCCCCTCCCTCCCTCCCTCCCTCCCTCCCGCCAGGTGGCACTTCTTACCCGCCATGCCTATTGTTCTCAACATCTGAAACAGCCAGATCCATCCATCCATTCATTGTTCCATCTGTGCATCAACCCAGCCCCCCCATCACCATCCATCCTTTATCGCTGTTCATCAATCCACCCCGAATTATTTTATCTGCTCAAATTTAAGAATGCATCTCATATAAAATGAAAAAATAATCATTACCGTTTTATTACTACAGTCAATGCGAAATCTTAAAATAATAAAAATTTATAACTATTTTCAAACTTATTTATGCCATGAAAATAAGGCAATATTACACATTCTGTATTTCAACTTCATTCATTTTTATTTGATTTTTTACAAAAATACAGTATTTTAATGCCACCGAGCCTTCTTTTTGCAAAATTAGGTGAGTAATTGCACTCATTTCTGAGGTCTAAAGTACGAACATCTCATGCTGTGGTGTGATATAAAGTTGATAATATTATCATTCCATCCACAATAACCTATGGCTTTATCTAACAATTCCAAGATCACCTGTGGTATTACAATGAAAGCTAAAGGTGTTCTTTTACAAGTACCATTCACAAATTCTGTTCAAAATTTAAACTTAATGAATAAATCGAATATAAAGTAAAACTGATTTTTCATAATTTTTCTTTAATGGTCTTTAGAATTCAGCCTGGTAGAAGAATAAAAAATATATTTAACAAATTAAAATTAAAAATTTCAAAGAATTCAAAGCAAAAATAATGAAATAAAAATTAAAATGGATAAGATATAATCTAGACTATAAATTTTACTTATTTTAATTTTATTATTATACTAGCGGTTGGCGCTTGCTTTGCAACGCATTAGTCCAACCATTTTAATGTAGTTCTTATATTACAAAATAGTTTAAAAGGAAGGTAACAACAATCTACATATATAAATATGTCTTCATGACCTAAGCATGAATTTTAAGAATGTAATATAATAGAATAGAGTAATAAATTTTAGAAATAAAATGCATCTAAAGATGCATGCATTGGAAAATATCCATTCATTGAATAGTGAAATTCAAGATGTAACCTTCTTCAATTGAATGGTAAGTTGTCTCAATTGAAAAAACATAATTGAACACCAAAAGAATGCAATTGGATGGAAGGGGACGTCACCAAAGCGTGCATGAACCCTAAACATGCAGAGTTTGAAACAAACTCTTAACTTTTCCATCCACCTGATTCAGGTGTAAATATTTATAGGAATTTATATGACAATATCATGTAAAAACCTCATGATAAACAATGTTTTTAACCGTTCCCACGGCTTCATTGTTGTCATTGGCAACCTTAATGTTTGCAGGATGTCTACCACGAGACAATGCCATATATAATTGACCATGGCTAAATACTTCATTGCAAAGATAAATGCCAACTCGATCATATGATTGGCCCTGTGATTTGTTGATTGTCATGGCAAAAGCACCAGTGACAGGAAATTGTCTCCGGCAAAGTGTGAATGGCAAGCGGCTATCGTTGCAATGATGTGTGATTCTAGGAATCAATACCTCTTAGCTACGATAGCGTCCTTCTACAATTTTACATAACAACACACTGGAAGACACTTGCAAAAGACGCAAATGACTACCATTGCACAAACCTTTTGCCGGATTCAAGTTCCTTAGCAACATCAAATATTGGCCACATTTAAGACTTAATTGGTGAGGAGGCAAACCGCTCAATTGTAAAGAATTCAAAAACTCTACTGGGTAATGATGGGCATGTTCATCATTCTCGTGAACAAAATCAGCACTAAAACATTGATGTACATCACCAGGTATACGATCGGTGATTTTTCGGTTGATTTCTTGGGCATCATCATTCCTGACAGCCAAAATGACGCACTCAGAAAAATCAACCGGATCATCAAAAATAGCATCAATGAGACCATCTAAAGAATTTCCAGGAGCAACTAATCCTAGCGGTAAATCTACCTTTGAACCGGTTTTGCCCTCACCGACATCTAACAAAAATCGTTGAAAGTCCGGTTGACCTTTGCAAACGCATGTTAGTGGTCAAATGAAAATGTTGCATTAGCGGAAATAGGTATGAATGTCGCAAGCAAGCTTGAACAGTTTGCTTGCGACCTCCACGTACAACTATAGGCAAAGTTTGGCGAAAATCACCGCCATATAATACTACAACACCACCATTTGGACTATCTATATTGTGTATATCTCACAATGATCTGTCTATAGCTTCAAACATAAAACGATGCCCAGCACAAGCTTCATCAAGTACAATTAATTGTACTTCACGTAAGCTTTGACCTAATGTAGACTGGGCACTAATGTTACAAATTGATGCATCATGCAACTGTAAAGGAATAGCAAGAGCTGAATGTGCCGTTCGCCCTTCATTCAAAAGGCATGCGGCAATTCCACTTGTTGCCATTGCCATACACTTGACATTACGACCACGAAGATAATCCAATATGGTGTTATACAAAAAGGTCTTACCTGTACCACCAGGACCATCTAAAAAGAAAAGCCGATCTGGAAAATCAGAATTTAAAACGGCAGTGGTCACCGCATTAAAAACAATGTATTGTTCTTCGTTGAGCCTACCTACATCCTCCTCTAGAAAAGTAATGTTTTGGTTATCAAAATCAATATTGTCATTGGAATCACCGCCAACATCAACAATGTTTGAATAACCAAACTCATTCAATTCTTCAATATTAAAAAAATCTATAAGATGTTTGTCTGATGATGACAAATATTCTTCAATGGACAAAATTGCTTTGCAATAGCAATTTTGATCATTGCGCCAATCATCAGACATAGCATCAAGATGTGTCTTTAGTAAGCTAAGAGGATCTAGCGGTTGTCTAAACACAAGAAGTGTTGCAAACAACCGTCGAACTTGTTTAGGCAACGCAATGACAGTTGCCTCTTGCAGACAATTTTCCCATTCAGAATCATCTTGTAAAAGTCCTCTTGCAATATAAGCGGCCTTGTACGTTGGATGCACTATATCATGAAAACAAAGTAGGTCCTCAAATGAAGTTGGTGCCTCGACATGAGTCAACAACAAACGCAAGTAAAATACTTCGGTACCTATGGGAACCATGTTTATCCGACCAAAAACTTTTATCTTACGTACTCTTCTTTTCCACATGTTATTCTTCACATCCCACTTGTAATAGAGTGGAAGATCCATGTAACGAAGAAGCATATGGTTGCCTTGATTGCCAGAAGCAATTAAGGCACGAATATGGCAATTAAGCTCAAAAAACTTGATGAGTTTAGTCTCAGCATTTTGATCAATCACCGAGTGCAAAGTTGTTCCTTCCTTAAAAGTAACATATTGCTGACCGGGAAGGTGAACAGGCAAACGACAAATATTATGGCTCTTATTATTAGTTTCAAAACCAAAGAGCCTCCAACATGCTTCTTGGGCGGCCACATAACGACCCTCCAAGAAATCCTTAATCTCATCTACCACTTCATCTGTTTCTACAACACCACGATCTGGACCTTTAAAAATATACTTGTGGAGGTATTTGACAGTTTTTACAAAACTGCAAATTTCCACATTAATGTGACAATTAAACCGACCTATCAAATATGGATTGTATGGCACAACCCATCGATTGTCTAAACGGACAATTTGTCCACGTACACGTTTCTCGATATATCGACCTTGATTTCGACGACGGTACAAAACATGTCCGTCACCATCCACCTCGGTAGTATCTCGAGCTTGCATCGGATAGTTCTTTGTACATCTATCGTCTTCCATGCATGGACAATTGGGATTGTCCAAACCACATGGTCCATGCATCATGTGCTTGGCAACCGCGGCATACAATTGCGGTTGTCTATCTAAATCGAGAATCTCCGCACATATTATCCTATCTACAAGGTCACAGTCATTGACCTTGTCTTTCAACCAAAGAAGAATGTGTGCATGAGGAAGACCACGTTTTTGAAACTCAATAGTGTAACAAAAAGTAATTGTCTCTCCCATGACATTCTTCTTCATAATCTCATCCATCAATGCTCTTAACTTGAGCTCGAAAACACACACAACAATATCTGGACGATCAGGAGGACTTTGACTTGGCTCAAGCTCATCAAGAATCTCAGGCCAGGTCGGATTACATGTCATTGTCACAAACAAATCGGGTTTTCCTAAAACTCTAACCAAAACCATACTATCATGAAAGAATTTTTGCATGTATCGGGGGGAACCAATGAATGTTGCAGGTAAGACAATGCGACGCCCAATGCGTGCTCCATTGTCTTCCTGCAAAGCATCTACGACCCCCTGATAGCACTCTGCACGAAGTTCAGTTTGATGTTGCCTAATGAAAAGCAAATTTTCATGTTCTACACGTAAATACTGATCCACTACATATTGCTAGAATAATCTACCAACCTTATGTAATACATTAGATTCTGGGAGCTTTTGAAGCAAATATTGGACATATGACTTTAAAGTCACTCTAGTATCTACTTTAAAAGTTGGTGACCACCCACATTGCCCATCAGGAAACAATAAAGGATAGGATAAAGCATCGTAAGCTGGATGAATTACTTTTATTTGTATTAAATCTCCACCACGTTGGTGAAGAATAATATCTCTACTAAAATTTATGTATTGTTCATCAAGAACAACAGCAGCAACTTCTAGAACTACTTGGCGATTATATCGACGGGGATGTTCACCAAAAGAAACCTCACCGGAGATACGAAGTCCCATGTTTTGTCCCCTTTGAAGAACATCACGCGAAGACTTAAAACCACGAACCAACGCATTTATGGATTCTAAAACTTCTTGAATGTTGTTAACAACATCACGATGAAGATCATCAAAAATCTCCATACGACGATTTGTTTGTAAACCATCATCCAAGAAATAAATTTGTGCAAATCTAGCACCTTCGTCTAAATCAGGTTGTAAATTTCCAATGTGATGGCATAACTCTCCGTTCACACGAAAAGTATATACCCCTCTACCTTCAACTTGGCCAGACTGAAACTTACTACGCATACTTGTAAATGCAAAAGCTTGATTATACTTTCGAATGGATTTAAGGAACTCTCGAGATTTAGATGTTGTGCCCATATAAAGCTCATTGAGCATTGGATGGACAATGGGGTGATTAACATGTTCATTGGCAATTTTGCCATTGTAACAATAAATGGTATTTTTTTCTTTTTTAAAACGAAAAGCCAAACATTTTGGACATTGGATGCACATTGATCCAACACTATCAACATTGACATCTACAAAATTATCAATGGTAGACAAAGCACGAGCCATTCTCTAGAAAGATGACAATATAATAAAAAAAGTGGAATTTAGGATAAGAGAATGAAGACCCTATCATAAATTCTAAACTCCACAAAGATAAAAAGATATATCAATAAATAGGATTTAGTGTAGGATAGAAGAAATCCTACCCTAAATCTTAAACTCCACAAAGATTGAAAAAATTGATAAGAAAAAATAGAGTTTAATGTAGGATAACAAAAATCCTAACGTGAATCCCAAACCATTTCAAAACTCACAAAAGTAAGGTTTTTGATAGTACCTTTGTAAGCTTGTGCTCCAAGAAAGTTACACCTTTTGATGAAATTTCACTCCACTCTAAAAAGTTTACGTTCAATATACTACACTTCAAAGAAAAAAAATAGATTAGGTTGGCACTTGCTTTGCAACACATTCGTAGCCAAGAGGTATTGATCTAACATACAAAAAACATGCATGAAAACAAATGTGATGAACATATTCTCAAGCCATACTCTACCTCCAAAGTTTAGACTCTAATTTTTTTTTTTTGAAGACACTTAAAAATGTCGATTTTTGAAAACTTTTGTCACAAATCATTTTTTTTCCTACTAAATGAAAATGCACCTAAAAAGTCCAAATCCGAAGTCGGAATTCAAAAATAATTAGTATTTTGGGAGATATTAACTCACTATTAAATGAATTCTGCCCAAAATATAGTTTCATCCATAGTGGATGAAGAATCGCACAGTAGATGAAAACCATGCAGTAGATGAAAAAACATAGTGGATGAAAAATCGCATAGCGGATGAAAAATCATAGCAGATGAAAAATTGTTGGGCAAAAAAAAAAAAAAGTTAAAAAAGTAAAAGTAAAAGTTTCGGCGATGTACACATCACAGAACAGCAGCTGCTCGTATTTGAGTCCTTGATGTTTTTTGTTTTTTGTTTGGTTTTTTGCAACTAAAACCACTAAATTTCAACTTGATTTGAAAGTTTAATGTTTGAAAACTTGATTTTATGATTACCCAAAATCAAAAATTACCAAAAATTTCAATCTTTCAAAACCTTTCAATCTTTCACAATCTTGCAAAAATTGCAATCTCACCTCAAATTTCTTGAACAATCTCCACAACTTGAACTTTGTAACTCCAACTCCAACTCTAACTTTGTATTCAAACCTCCAGGATCACATCAACCAACTCCAACTCCAACTTTGTATTCAAACCTCCAAGATCACATCAACCAACTCCAACTCCAACTTTGTATTCAAACTTCCAAGATCACATCAACCAACTCCAACTCCAACTTCACAACTTACAACTTCCAACTTACAACTTCCAACTTACAACTCACAATTTACAACTCAATCTTGAAGTGCACAATCCAAAAAATGTTTTGAACATCAAATTTGTAATCAAGAGTTTCAAATTTGTTTTGGGTAAGCTCAAATTGTAACACACACTTTGGATTGCACACACCCACAAACTCAACGTTCAAATTTCAAAACCGCACAGTAATAAACGGAGCAGTCAACCGCGCAGTCAACAAAAGTAAAAGTAAAAGTAAAAGTCACAGCCACAGTAAAAGTAAAAGTCATAATAAATATAAAAGTAAAAGTCACAGTAAAGGTAAAAGTAAAAAGTCATAGTAAAAGGAAAAGGAAAAGGAAAAGTATAGTTGACTTTTGATAGGGCTTATGATTTTAGTAGTATGATATTTTAATTTTAATAATATTAAAAATATAAAATTTTGAAGAATTTTCTTAATATTGTAAAAATTTAAGTTTTACTCTCGTTTTAAAGAATGTAATCAAAATGATTTGATTATTTAATTAAAAATTAAGTTTTAGAAAAACTTAGGTTTTGATATGCTTAAAATTATAATTTACAATCATCTTATTGTTGTTTAATTATTTGCATTAGAAAAAATCTTATAATTGAAAGAAAATTTTAGACTATATTTAAAGACATTTAAACAAGAAACAACACAAATTAATATTTTCAAGTGGCACATATATTCTTAACTTATTTATTGGTTATTTTTTAAAAATAATTAATTAAATATATTAAATAAGGACTGATTGGAAGAATTGATCTAGTTTGGAGACTTAGACCAATATGTCCAAATAATAGAAGGTAGTTTGGAGAAATCTAATCCATGTAAGAGCTTTACAAAAAAGATTCAAATTATAGTAAATATTTTTAGATATATCCAATCTACATAAAAATTAGACATCTTAAAGTTAAGATTAAAAAAATTAAGTCAAATGAATAAGTAATTACTAAGAAGAAGATGACTAATTATTAATAATTAAATTTGTATAACTATCAAGGCGAATGGTTGGAGGTACCAAAAACAAATGTTATTATTGATGTTTTTATATTTATTGAATTTAAAATCTAATTAAATTAAATATAATTACAAAATATTTTTTGAATATCAGCTTAAATTTTTTTATTATTTGATTTAAATTAAGTCTTTATAATCTTTCAATTGAAGTTAAATTTTATGCAATTTGGCTCAAATTAGTAGTTGATTCAAAATTCTTCTTACTCAAATTTTGACTACAACTTCTCAACTTTGATATTACAAGAATTGTTTATGAGATAGAATTTATAGAATTTATATTTGTATAACAAGATGCAATATAAAATAGATCAATCTAATAATGATTTAAGATAATCAATAAGATTTTTTAAAATTAAAAGTAAGTTCAAAAAGAATTTTCTTACCTACTAGATACTATACCTATTTAAATGTAAAGTATTAGAATTTGGACCTTATGTCCATTAAACAACAATTCTTTGTTGCTATTGTTATTATTGTTATTGTTGTTGTTGTTTTTTTTTTTTAAAAAAATGGAATAAGATTTTATTCTATTAGAATAAAAAAAATATACAAAAACTAAGAAATTATAAAAGAAAGTTGTTCAAAGGTTTTTTTTTTTTTTTTTTTTTTTTTTTTTGTTAAGTAAGAAAGAACATAAAAAAATAATCAATAAATAATAAGTAACTAATCAAACTAGCAAGCAAGAAGGAGGTGGAAGGAAGTTTCAATGTATTTAAGCATCACCACAATTATCATAGGCCAAAGAGTTCTAGGGTCTATTAAATATAAAGAAAAATAAAACATGCTAGTGGAAACTATATTTTGAGTTGAGAAGAACTTAAGCAAAGGCAAAACAACTATGATTTAGAAGTGATTTCTATAACATTTGGTGAAGGTGGGTTGTATTCCAATAAATATTATTGTAGGAAGTTTCAAGCCTAGTAGGCCAACACAACTAAGTGTCTAAGCTATAGAGTAGTCAACAAAGTTTTAATATTTAGTATAGCTAATGAAGAAGTTTTTTTTAAATAGACATTGCTCCTAATTAAGTTGGCTATGGGAGTCTATGGCATGTTGATGCCCTAACAACTTATGCAAGATTGATTAGATATAATCCTAAATAATACACATAATGGAACATTTAAAAAAATAATAAATCATTGTATAGAAGGCATTATGAAGGCAATATATATAAGATGTAACAAGAACCATAGAAAATTTAAAGAGCCATCTAATTATTACAATGATGAGATGCTATATTGATCAAATAAAAGTAACATATTTTTTTGGTTAAGTCTTCAATAAGATTTTTCTCTACTTAAGATTGAAGTTTGTAAGCAAGAGATCAAACCACTTTTCAAGGATTTTTTTTCTAAAGTTATTTTTTGGCAAGAGTAGCTAACTTTCCAATTTAATAATAAATATTATAAGTAAAGTATTATTAAGTTATTTATAATATATAAGATTAAAGTTCAATAAGTCACGGCTTTTTGCACAAAATTGATGCTTATCTTATCCTTAGTCATTAAAAGTCTTCATAATTTGGATTTGCTTGATATATCCAATATAGATGAATTCATTATTATTAAGAGATATAATTTTAAAAATTCTTTATATATTTTGGCCAATAACAAATGTTATTTATTTTGCAAGAATCTAGAAGTGAGTTTTTATATTCAAGAGACTTAGATTTAACTAAATTGATATTTAGACAAAAATATTTGGAATCAAATTATCAACATTTAAAAAAATACCAATCTATTAACTATTAAAGAAATTTAATTTACCAAAAATAATTTAATAGAGCCATTTCTAAATAAGTTCTTTTGAATTTATTGATAGAAAAAATAATCACTTTTAATAAGCGTATACTCAATGTATAATAAGGTCGAAGGCTTAAAACAGGCTTATTTAGTACACAACATTTGTGAAAAAGTTTCGAGCCCATATTTTATAATGGCTCTTGTTTGTTGCAAAGTAATTCTAAAATTGCCATTAATATATGACAATGACTACTAGATAATTATATTAAGAACTTTTTCAAAATATTTGGACTGCTTCATTGACTTGGTACAATCCAAATATTATTCAATCTTAAATTCTAAAGTCTTTAAAAGAAATGTGTAAAATAATTAAAAGGTGAATGAATAAATAATTATTAATCTATTTGGCATAACAATAATAGATAAGATAAGAGCATGGTATAAAAATTTCCTAAAGAATCATCTCTACTATTCTTAAAAAGACATAAAGATTATTTTTAGAAGAAGTTACAAGAACAAAATCACAAATGAGGCTATCTATTATAAACTATAATCTTTCAAGTAGGAAAAAAAAAAAAAAAGGATCCAAGATTATTATGACCAGTTCATAATGTTGATTAAATATCTTTACTCAAATCTCAGAGAAGATTTCTAAATAATCAATTTT